GGAGGGCTTTTAATTTTGAGGGGAGGCATATGGAAGAAACTGGGGTGGCGATGACAAGGATGCTAAAAAAAATGAAAACAGCATCGATGAAATGTTGAAAAATACACTAAAGAGCACGAGGAAATTCAGAAGGAGACCCAGATAGACTGGCCAGGGGTGGCACAGTTGTGTGAAATGCCTCATATGCTTTAGAAACCCCAGTCTGCGTGCATAGAGAGAGCCAGCGTTTCATATATAATCCTCCTTTTCTCTATATATGGAAACTCTAGTTTGTTGAGTTCATAACTGAAAGAATAAGCTTAAAACAAACAAAAGAAATCAATAAAGTGAAGAATGCCCAGCGGACGGCTAGGCTGCCATCAGGGGTCTCAAGTCCATGTCAGGGAGGTCGGCTTCAAAGAGCTTCGGGTGTTTTGTGTGTGCAGGGCTGTGAGAACTTTCTGCAGGTGCTGGAGATGCTCTCCTGTATAAAAGGAATCAGGCACTCGAGGAGGTGGAGCAGTGGGTGGAAAGGGCCCTCAGCCCCTTCCTGAGAAGGGACATCCCTGTGGCCTGATGCCTACGGGGGTTGGGGATCTCCCTCTTCAAGCAAAGCCCAGATGCCCGTGTAATGACTAGGTTGTAGTAGAGTAGGGTTGGGCTCATGGCTGGTGAAGACTGGTTTTCCTGCTTTGACACATTCTTTGACACATTCTTCCTTGTTTTGCTCACTGGGGCCATGCAGAATCTAGTGTCCTTCTTCCAGAAGATGACAGTTCAGATGAAGCATGCTGCTGTCATGTGCCCCTTTGCCATCGCTTTGTGCATGTCAGTACCTTTCTCAGCTCAGTTTAACATTCAGCGTCTGATACTCCATGCAAGGCCTTGAGACTGATCTGCCTAAGAATTCTCTCCCCTCTGCTTTGTCTCCAAGTCCTGTCCATCCTGCCTGTGTCTAACCTCTTACTTCTTTACTATTCCCACTGCTGCCATCTTGGCCCGGGCCCTTGTTAGCCTTCACCGCACCATCACAAGCTCCCGCCCTTCCTCCCGTGACTCTAGTTCTTCCCTTTCCATCTATCATGCACACCACATTCTAATGTTGTTGTTCAGGTATTTCAGTCATATCCTACTCTCCGTGGCCCCATTTGGGGTTTCCTTGGCAAAGACACTGGAGTGGTTAGCCATTTCCTTCTCCAGCTCATTTTAGAGATGAGAAAACTGAGGCAAACAGGGGGAAGTGATTTGCCCAGAGTCACACAGCTAGTAAGTGTCTGAGGCTGGATTTGAACTTCTCTCTCCCTACTCCAGGCCCAGCTTTCTATCCACTGTACCCCACATTAGCTGCCCCCACATTCTAATACATTGGCCTTTAAAACAAACAAATACCATCGATATTTCTATTTGTTTATTTATTTTATTTTATTGTAATAATCTGACTTTTCTCCCTCTCATATCCCACCCCCACCCCCAATGAGAAAGCAGGCTAAACAAAACTTCTAACACAAACAAGTAGGGTCAAGCAAAAGAAATTCTAGCATCAACCTTGTCCCCAAAACATGTCACAAACAGCCCTGAGTCCATCACCTGTCTATCAGAAGGTGGGCTTAGGGTTAGGGTTATTTTGAGCTCTCTGGAATTGTGGCTGGGTATTGTATTGATCAGAGTTCCCAAGCCTTGGGGCAGCTAGGTGGCGCAATGGGTAGACCACCGGCTCTGCAGTCAGGAGGACCTGAGTTCGAATCCGTTCTCAGACCAGACACTTGACACTCACCTCAGCAAGCCACTTAACCCCCATTGCCTAGCAAAAAAAAAAAAAAAAGAAGAGTTCCCAAGCCTCTCAAAGTTGTTTGTTTTTTGTTGTTACATAAATTATGCTCCTGATTCTCTTCACTTCACTCTGCATCGGTTTGGGTCTTCCCAGGTTTCTCTGAAACCAGTCCCTTCATCATTTCTTACAGCACAATGGTTTTCCATCACATTTGCACACTGTAACTTGTCCAGCCACTGCCCAGTGGCTGGATGCCCTGTCAGTTTCCAACTCTTTGACTCCACAAAAATAACTACTATAAATATATCTCATACACGAGTCCTTTTCTTCCGTCTTTGATCTTTTTGGGGTATGGCCTAAGTAGTAGTATTTCTGGGTCAAAGGGTATCAACTTAATAGCTCTTTGGGTGTAGTGCTAAATTCCTATCTAGAATGGCTAGACCACTTGGAATTAATGTACCTAACAACTTGGTTTTAATGGTATAGGTATGGCCATGACATTCCTCAGATGAAATATTTCAATGACTCTGTTGCTTAGTAAATAAACACCAACCTCATTAGACTGGCTGTTAAGACCTTCTACTTTTTTTTTTATCATACAATTCTCCATCATGGAGTCTTGGCCCAAGTGCGTTATCGGCCTTGTCCTCTGAACACGTCCTAGGTGCCTTGGCTCACATTGGTCCCTAGGCCTTGTGGGGCCTTCCCCTACTCTCTTTGCCTGATGATATCATCAAGACCCAGCTCAAATACTATTTCCTCTCTTACATTCGCTCTTGATTTCTCCAGCTGCAAATGATTTCTCCCTCATCTGATCTCATAGCAGTTTGTAATCCTATGACATACATTTTGGAAGGGAAGAATGCTTCTGGTCCTGTAATTTTATCAGGTGAAAAAAATCCTGGTATGAAAAAGCCCTCCCCTTATTCAGCTCACTCTCTTACTTGTTAATGCAGTCGTTTAGGTGACGAGCCCCGGATAATTCAGCAGGTATGTGTCAGAAACAAGACTTGAACTCATTACTCTTGCCTCCTTTTATCACACATCATAGGTGTTTAATAAATGGTAGCTGGCTGAAGCTATCCACTAGCCCACACAGCCTCCCAGAGGCTCCCAAAGCGTGAATCATATTATAATTTACCTTGGGTTTAGCTTGTTCCTTGCCCAATCTCTATTCTCGATTGTAAGCTCTTTAAGGGCAAGAATTTTACAAATTTGAACGAAATCTTGTTATCTTATTTAACTTGCTTCCTGCCTGAAGCAGAGTAAGTGAAGGCTGGAAGAGGCCCTGGTGGTTATGGCCCCACCCAGCACAGTATCCTTGGACGGGTCTGCCCCCCAGCCTCAACTTGTGTAGTTCTCAAAAGGGGTGCTGTGAACTGTGTGGAAGTTACACCACACAGACCTGTTCAACTCTCAGCATTTCTGGAGTCTCCCCGATTACTCATAGAAAAGAACAAGACTGAGCATGAGCAGAGAAAAGTCTGAGAACCCCTGCAGTCTATTCAGATGACCCCTTTGTCTCTCCCCTTTTTGATTAGACCTGTGATTTCATTGGTGCAAGGAACTTCTGGTGAGGCAAGTCCTTTGTCTATAATTTCCACTCCTCAAGCTGCCTGGGTACAGCGAGAGGTCACATGATTTGCCCAGGGCCATATAGATTAACATAGGTGCTAACTGTAACATAGGTGGAGCTTTGAACCCAGATCTTCAGGACTCAGAGGCAGGGATGAGCTCCCTGTTCTCGTACTGGCTCCCCAACCACCACCCAACTCCCATATTTCCCTTCAGCAGAGAAATTCCCACTTTCAGGGCCAGAAAACTTCGAAGGCAATCCACAGCTGTAGGGAAACCGGGGGTTATGCCATTAGAAGCTTGGACATTGTCTCAGCTTTGAAGTTGGCCAGCCCTTTTCCTCTGGCCTTCCTCCCCTAAGCTTGCCTCCTCTAGCGTAGCTCCAACGTGGGGCCCCACTGTACTCGTAAATCCATGGGAGCTGGGAGGTCACCATCTTTGGGTCACTCTGATGCACAGCTCCCTGGTGATTCATGTTGCATTGACCTGCTGACTGGATCTTTTCTTAAGATGACAGATGACTTCAATTAATTGTGAGATGGGCTCTTTTCGACTTTCTTAAATTCCACGCTCTAAGGAGCCTGAGAACTGGGCTTTAGATCTAGTTAATGCCAAATAGTAGTAATTTGGGAAAACATGTGTCATCCATTTTTGACAATTTGGCGATGTGCCACTTAGCCTTGTTAGGGCTTAGTTTTCTCATCTGTAAAATGGAAGATTAGACCAGATGACCTCTGAGGTCCTTTCCATTTCTAGATAGATGATTCACAGACAAAGAAATGGAGTAGTCTTTGCTCTCCAGAAACTATAACTAAGTTTGAATTCTGCATATTTTCATGGAGCTAGAACTAATGACTATATTTTACATAATTATAACTTCAAATGGTGTGAATTAGAATATGTTCTAGTGGGAGGACTTCTTTGTCCTCTTGAGAAAGACTTTTTAGATCCATAATGTCCTTTCATGGCAGATTTGAATATCAATTCCAACCCAACAAGCATTTATTAAGCCCCTAGTATTTGCAATAGGATGTGCAAATTAAAAGAAAAAAAAGAAACAACCCCTGCCTGGAGATTCCATTTCATCAGAGGAGACAATATTGTACTTAAAAGGGGGGGGGTGTTCAAATTATCAGGGCTAAATGCCTGGGGTGATTCTGATCCCATATTTACAAAGGGAGATACAAAATAGAAACAAGGTAATTTGGGGAGAACGCATTTGCAGATGGAGTGATCGAGGAAGGCTCTGTGTAGGAGTTGTTACTTCAATCAATTAATCAATAAACATTTATAAAGCACCTCCTATGTTCCAGACACTGTGCTGAGCACTGAGGATACAAAAAGAGGCAAAAGACAATCCTTGCCCTCAAAAGCCTCCAATCTAATGGGAGAGGCAAATTACTAACAAGAATATACAAAGCATGCTATATGCAAGATCAGTTCGAAATAATTGGTGTCCTTTGAAAGAAACAAAGGATTCTGGTAAGCAGAGGTGAGAATGAGATATCTGCAATCTGTGGGCAACCTGCGGAAAGACTCACAGGCGGGAGAGGAAACGTGTCTTTGTTCCCACCGCTTTGACCCAGTCTCCATGAATGTAAATGTCGTGTGAAGATAAGTCCGTCTGTATCCGAGTGGGCCTCCATTAAACTACTGCTTTGTTTCCCTTTCTCAGATCATGATGTTGAAAATGATCTTCAGCCAGACCTCCGTGGACCACTGCAAGACGCCGAAACCCGAAACGAAAAGGCCGAAGGAATGCGACTCCTTCCTGACCGCCGTGCGCCTGGCTTCCCTGAACCAGATCTTGGACCCCTGGGTCTATCTGCTGTTGAGAAAAATCCTCCTGCGGAAGTTCTGTCAGGTAGCAAACGCCGTCTCCAGCTGCTCTCCCGATGGACAGAAAGGGCAGCCCGGCTCGTTAGCCAACGAGATCGTGCAGACAGGAGCCTAAGAGAGAACATTTGAGCAGCTCGCATGCTAACTGCTTTGACATCGAGTAGTCTTAAAGTTTGCTGTGAATTCTGGCATCTGCGTCGTGCCTGTGTTTATGTATCCAAGTGGAATGAATTTTTTTACATCAGGCTAAATGGCCTCAAAAGACCCCAAAACCCCTATGAGTGCCAAAAAAAAAAATCTTGAAATATAAACAAGTGGAAATCTATCTGCAACCATCTAGCTTGCCTTGTGCCTCTGCAGTGTGTAGCCTACAATGTGATTTTGCATCTTGCTGGCTCTCGAGCTGAATGTGGGCTGCCCAGGGCTCCAATGGGGTAGTCTGCCTCTGATTCAGTTCAATTCCAGGCTTGGCTTAATGCTGTTTCCCTACGTGAGCAGCCGTTTTGAATGTCATTATTCTCCCATATTACTTTTTGACTTACCCTGTATGTATCTTATATGTGATTAGCTGTGTAAATGTTTTCCCATGGTAGAAGGATTCCCTGGGGCACAGGAATCCTTTCAATTTGGTCTTTATATCCCCAGAAGTTAACGTAGTCCCTGGCATACAGAAGGTGCTTAATAAATGAGTAAATTAATGAATAAAAGAAGCAAGTATTTATTAAGTGCCTGCTATATGATAAGCACATAGTAGGTACTTAATAAATGCTTGTTGGGTAATTGATGAATGAATGAAACAATCACTTATGTAGTAGGTACTTAATGAATGAATGAAATAAGCATTTATGAAGTGCCTGCTGTATGACTGCACAATGCTGGGTGCTGGAAATCCAGAGACGAAGATGAAAACAGTCCTTGCTCTGCAAGAGCTGGGCAGGGATGGAGGAGAGTGGTATTCTTTTTAAATATTTTTTAAAAGAAATGTTTGAGGATATTGGCCTTCCTCTCTCCCTTTCTCTGTCCCTGTATCTGTCAGTGAGTGTCCGTCTGCCTGTTTCTCTCTTTAACCTTGCAGAGACTGAGAGCATAAGGGACTTGATTGTTTTTCCCCTTTCGCTCTTAAATAGTTGGGCTTCAAGACAAAACAAAGATAGCATCATACATTCACAAAGTGCATTAAGATTGACATTCTTTGCCATCGTGTTCAGTATCTCAGCATTAAATCTTTATCTCACACTATTTAGTGGTTGTCTTGGTAACTGCATCTACCCAGCATCCTAATAAGAGTCATTTAACTGACTTTTGGAAATGGCGGGTTGGTAATGGGCATGCCTGCTCAAGATGGCTGAGTCTGGGGCAGTAAGTTAGCATAGGGATTTTTTTTTTTTTTGCATTGAATCTGCTGAGTAAAGTCATCTTTTCCAGTTAAAGACTCCCATCCCTTTGGGTCTTACCTGTGCCTTTTGCTGGTCTGGACCTACTAGTCAGAAATTGGGTAGAGGCGAGTGAAAAATCTGCTGAAGACATTAACTGGCTTAATTCCTCTGAGCCTCAGCCTCCCCCTCTGTAAAATGGGGGTGACGGTAATAGCACCTATCTCAGAGGGCTGTTGTGAGGCTCTGATGACACGCAGGTAAAGGATTTTGTAAACCATAAGATTCTCCACGGTCTATCTCCTCTAATTATATCTTTAAATAATACTTTGACGTCGAGACCACCAGCATTGCCAGAGATCTGGGATTAGGGCTGTCTATTTTGTGGATCCAGGTTTAAGCTACACACTTTAAAATGGCAGGGTGCATGTTTGTTTGTTTCCTTTAGCGACTGATAATTAAAATGTTGTTTCTAGAGCCAGTTTCTAGCCACAACAGCCAATCCTCGAGCCATCTGCATGGTGACTGCTCTGAATTCATACCTGCGATGTATCAGACACTTGCTAGGCACTGGGGACACAAAACCAAAAATAAAACCGTCCCTGCCTTCAGGGAGGTTATAGTCCACTGGGGGAGGGTTTCTTGTCTTTTTAAAAGGCCTCGTTAGAAAGCCCCTTTGAGGCAGTTGGGAAAGTCCCACCCTACGCACCAAACGTTCATTAAGGGACTTGTGCCAGAGGGTGAGGTTAGAAAGAAGACGATGATGACAACAATAAAAACGACTACAACAGCAACAAAGCAACCCCCGCCTGCAGGAAGGTTACACGTAGAAATAAACTTTGAACTCTTTTTTTCTGTATTAAATATGCAAGCCCATTCTGAATTTCCTTTTTGGTGTGCCTCTCTCTGTGTCTCATTCTCCTTCTCTCTGTCCATCTCTCTCTCTCTCTCTCTCTCTCTCTCTCTCTCTCTCTCTCTCTCTCTCCCTCTCTTTCTGTTTCTCTCTCTTTCTTTCTCTGGCTTTCTCTCTCACTGTCTCTTTTTCTCTCTTGTGTCATTCTCTCTTCCTGTCTATCTCTTCTTCTCTCTGTGTCTCTTTCTCTCTTTCTCCTCCCCCCCTCTCTCTCTGCTTCATTCTCTCTGTCTGTCTGTCTGTCTGTCTGTCTGTCTGTCTGTCTGTCTCTCTCTCTCTCTCTCTTTCTCTCTCTGTTTCTTTCTCTCTCTTTCTTTCTCTGGCTTTCTCTCTCACTGTCTCTTTCTCTCTCTTGTGTCATTCTCTCTTCCTGTCTATCTCTTCCTCTCTCTGTGTCTCTTTCTTTCTCTCTTTCTCCTCCCCTCTCTTTCTCTCTCTCTCTGCTTCATTTTCTCTGTCTGTCTCTTTCTCTCTCCGTCTCTCTGATTCTGATCGCTCTTGCTCTATCTGGATTAAAAAATGTTTTATTTTTTTCTTTATAGTTATTATATCTTCTATCTGATTTTGAGTGGGGAATTAATTTAAGGAACTTTAACTGTGCATTAGGTCAGCATAATTGTTATCCAAGCATTGGATCAGGAATAATCCAGTTAAGCAAATTAGTGAATCTGAAGGAAAGCGTAGATCTGCTTAGCGCTGTAATAGAATTTAGGATGTTCCCTAGGCTGGAGTTTGCTACTGGAAAAGATCTAAATAAGCTATTTGCACCACAGGAAGCCCCCTAGACCAAGCTTCCTGGTGGCCCAGAATGGGGCGTGGCCTAGAGATTGAGGTTACCTTATTGCCTCCCCAGTGCCATGAAGAATAAGCTCCTTGCACATTATCCCAATTGAAAAAAAGCTCGTCTGGGGCACAAGGACTAGCCTTGGTGGTCAGCGGTTTCTCTGCCCTTCTCGCAGATCTGGTGCCTTCTTTCCAGGGCCTGCAGATGAGCAGGAATCTCGCTTTGAGACCCTTATTCATGAGAGAGGGGCATTGCCTACGAGGTGGGCATGGGGAGGAGCAGCACGGGGGTTCTCAAAGAGACTTGTGGCATGGTGCAGTGGTAGTTTTATTCTTTTAAAATATTTTTATATCACCTTCATTTCCAAATATCTCTCATTCCTTTCCTAGCAAGTAATCTCATGAGATGGTTCCACCACAGGGATGTTGGATCAGTCTCACAGTGAGGTTCTGGTGTGTGTATTTTTGTGTGCAAATGTGTGGGTATTTAGGCAGATGTATACAAGTGTGCATATATTCATGTGATGGGTTGCGTGGTGGGCCTGGGTGTTGAGAAGACTTTGGTCACAGTCCTGCCTTTGACATGAAGTGGCTGTGTGACCTTGGGCTAGTCCTTCAGACTCTCACTGTCCGACCCGGGGAACTTTTTTCTTCTTTTTTTTCTTTTCTTTTCTTTTTCTTTTTTGTTTTTTGCTAGGCAGTGGGGTTAAGTGACTTGCCCAGGGTCACACAGTAAGTGTCAAGTGTCTGAGGCTGGATTTGAACTCAAGTCCTCCTGACTCCAGGCATTAGAAGTAAAAGGTGTCTCAGAGATCAAGTCTACCTTTTCCCTGTAATAGGGAAATTTCTGTACCAAGAGTTTCCCACATTAATGAAATCACAGATGTGGACTCAAAAATATGTGTGTATGTGATGTATGTATGGTGTGTATGTGCTGTATGTAATTCAGTACGTATCTAGAGGCAGTGTGCTGTAGTGGATAATGCGACAGAATTAGAGGCAGAAAAACATAAGCCTAAATCTGGCCTCTAACCCTTGCTGCCTGTTGGGTACTAGACCGGTCACTTAACATTCCATGCTGATGAGATCACAGATCCTTTGGTCCTTCCCACGTCCAAATACGTGTTCATGTGAAAAGCTTGTGAGTCCTTCTAAAATAAAAGACTGCCCCCGAGGAGCAGGCATCCGTGATGCGTTCGACGCGCCATAGGTAAATCGCTCTCCATGATGATTCGCGAGGCTGATGAAGTGAATAACCACTGTTTGTTTCATTCTTTGAACAAGTAATTTAACCTTTAAAGATGCAAAGCTTTCCTGGGGAGCACTAATGTTCTTCACTGTATTTTTTACAAACGCTGTCGGTGACCAATGGGTGATTCTTCTGTAGGGTGAAACTGAGGAACTTTCAACTAAAACTTGTCCTGAATTCCCAAACACATGTTCGTCTGGGTACACACTTGTTGGGAGCTGGCCACAGGGTAGACCATGAGTCATACTGGATCACTCTTCGGAACAGCCTCTCCAGTATTTCTGTTTGTTGCACAGTTTCAAGGCTTTAAAATATTTGTATATCACCTTCATTTCCAAATATCTCTCATTCCTTTCCTAGCAAGTAATCTCTTGTAACGAAGAATAGAAAATTAGGCAAAGAAGTAAAGCAGGTCCAACTTTGTACGTAACGTTCTGCACCCGTAGCCCCCTACCTTTGCAAAGAAGGGGAGGAGTAAGGAGCGTTTTCTCATGTCTTCTTTGGGGTCATCCTGGGTCATTACAATCACACAGTTAAATCGCAGGTTTTGTTGTTGCTGTTGTGGTTGATGTTGTCGTAACTGCCATTGACGCTTCTGTTCATTGGGCGACTGTTTTCCCATTTAGCTTAATTACCGCACTATGTATGAGTTCATACGAGTCGCGATGACAATGGTAAACGAAGGCTTCAGACAGAGGCTTAAAGGC